CCATATGGAAAAATAAAAATGGGCATATACAAAATAGATACAATGTCAACATAAGAAAAATTATCATCTATGCTCTCTTTAAAAAATGAATTTTAGTGATTACCAGCTTACAAAAATATTTTATCACTCTGCTATGACTTGCAAAGTGCAAATAAACGCACTATTTGTTATTATTTATTCATAAAACCATTCTTGGACTTAAAAATACAAGGAAAAAATACATCTATATTGCTAAATACATATTTACAGAGAAAAACAAAACTCCAGGAAATGAGTAAAATTAGAGGCACACATATAACTAGAGAAATTCCAAATTCACAAAGACTAATAGTAAATAAAAAGGGATAAAACCATTCATCAGTAAAGAATATGCAAAAATGCGTTGTAAAATTATAAAACCATTTCTAAACTCACTTTGCATGACAGACATTGCAAAAATAGATGTTACTGAACTAAGTCACAAAGACATGTCAAAGAGATATGAAGCACTATGGTGAGATTACAAATTATTCTCAAGCAAGAAAATCACATGTGTCATTCTATGCAAAGTGGAACGTTTTTAAAAAGTTAAAGAAATGTATGCTGGCGCTGGCCACGTAGCTCAGTTAGAGTGTAGTCCTAACATGCCAGGATTGCAGGTTCAATCCCCAGTTAGGGCACATACAAGAATCTACCAAATAATGCATAAATTAGTGGAACAACAAATTAATGTTTCTCCCTCTCTCTCTAAAAAAATTCAATAAATAATTTTTTAAAACATCTATTCTAATCTACAGATCTTTAAACAGGACAAGGAATACAGAATGACTATACACAATAAACTCTATTTCCACTTACTCATTATCACTTAGCCTTTACAACTGACCTCCATATTTACTATACCTCTTAAAGCTGCTTTTGAAAAAACATACTGGGTAACATACTAAACAAACCACACACACTTGGAACCTTTCCTCAGTCCTCATCACTCTGACTGTTGTGAAGCAACAAACTTTTGACCATTTACTCTTTCTTGAAACAAACTGTAGGCCAATTCTAGTCTCATTCTTACATACTCCTGTCTTTTTCAGTGTCAAATCATTCTACTCTTTACCCTATTTACAGGTTATTCCTCAAGATTCTTACCTCGGACAAATTTTCTTCTTTTTCTTTGTTGCCTCTAATCTTCCCACCTAACTTCAAATATCATTAACAGGATATTTGTGGATAACTTCCAGATCTCTGGTTGTAATCCTTTTGAGAATTAAAATAACTTTCTGTTAAATACTTTGTACCTAGTTTCAGTCAGTAAATAAACTTTTTTTTAATCCTCACTGGGGAACATGCAAAGAGAGACAGAGACAGAGACAGAGAAGCGTCAATCAGTTGCCTCTCTATCTGCCCTTACCAGTGGTGATAGAAACCATGATCTTTTGGTGTTAAGGGATGATCCTCCAACCAACGGAGCCACCTGGACAGGGCAGTGAGCGAGCTTTTACTGCACAGCTACTATGTGCCAGACACTAGTGTTAGAAACGTATTCAAAACCCAATACAAAAGTCCCTGTCATTAAGGAATGGACAATCTAAATTGCAGACCAAAATGCGCAACTCAAAAGACCCAAAATTGACTACTCATTTTTCCTCTTCCAATGGATTAAATATATATTACTAGGTTGCACATTCTCATTACTGCCAAGGTGATAATGTATGACTCCTTTCTCAATTCCATATTCAATCAGTTGCCAAGTAAATCCTGTTCTTTATTTGCAATAGTCCATTCCCATTGCCTGAACCTAGTTCAGACCATTAAATATTTCCCCCAAAACTACAACCACCACCCTCTGAAGCCTTCTCTAATTTCTCATCTAATTCATTCTGCACTTAAGTGACAGATTAATTTTCCTAAACCACAGATGTGATCCATCACTTCACTATATAAAAATGTTTACTAGTAGTTCAATAGACAAATCATATCCAAAGACTCCCTTAGCTTGGCATTTTCAGTCCTCCGCTATCTGGTATTTACATATTAATGCTTTTTCATCCCTGCCACCCACTATTTCCTTACCTTTTGCTCCAAACATGGCTATTTAATCGTATCTGGAAACTCCTTGAATATTCCCTCTCTCTCTATCTGCAGTTATACCATCTCTCTCCTCCCATTCTCAATCTGATTAACAGTCTCCATTCATTTGTGCCTTTCAGAAGTTTACCTCACCTTTAATTCAAATAACATTATTTTTCTAAAAGACTCTATAATATACGTAAAGCCTATTTTTTTATATCACGTATACTTTCTTTTTACTATAGTTACCTGTGTATGATATAGCCTTCCTGTTAAGACTATAAGCAACTCAAAATATGAATCTTACTCATTTTATCCTCCCACAATACACTGCACATGGCTGACATTCAATAAATATTAAATACGTCCTGAATTTATAATAAAATATATACATAAAATAACAGTATGGTCCATAAAATTATATAAGAAGTTTCCTTCACTTTCTTATGGAGAAAGATCACTGCCATGAGGATATCTTTTTTAAAAGTCACCTTATTTATTCCTTACAAAGACAGATTTAAAAAGTGATTTTTCTCCCTAACACTAATCAGTCTGCCTTCCGCCTCTTACGAGTACATGAATAGTTGTAATAAAAACTTCCTTGGCTCATAATATAAAATTGCTCTCCAAGGTTGCAATTTTATATCATTTTTTTGTACCTACTGCTCACACAATTGTCTTACCAATGAAAACAGTGGTGTAGAAAGAAATGGCTTGCCTTGAGGTGCCCCAAAACCCATACTGCTGAGAAAACCCCACTTTTTTTTTTTTAGAGAGGAGCAATCATAATATAATTAATTATACTTCTCTGTTTTGCTTCTTCCATACTTTCATAACATCTATCAACCCAAATGTTTGCTTAGGGCCCATACTTCCAGGTTAACAAGTTACAAACAACATGCAGGTTTTAAACTATTAATTCATCAAAGATTAACTGAATTCCTACTCTTTGGAAAACACTGTTGGGAACACAAAAATTAATGAAACAATTTTCATCTTCTGGAACTCATGATTAAATACACAACACACATAAACAGCTCATTATAAAGCAGATTATGTAAGTGCTAAAAAGCTTCCAACAAAGTAGAGAGCTCTATGAAGAGAGAGATGAATTTAATCAGTTATCTGAGAAGCTTCAAATGATGGGTTTTTATTTGGCCTTTTTAAAGTCATGCAATAACATTCAAAACTTTCAAGATTATTTTTTAGTAAATAATTTTATTTGTTTTAAGTATTTTTATTCATTAGTATTGCCAACAGAATTGGATTTTCCCCATTGAAAAGGTACTGATTTGACATTTAAGTTACATTCTTAATTAAACGGATTTTTTTAGCTCACCTTGAAACATGGGGAAACGTATTTTACAAACAAAACTTGTGGCCTATAATTGAGAAGGAAAATTTTGTTTGTTCAAGGGAAGGACACACTGTGTGTATCTATATTACTCTATATTAATATACACTTAAAATTATAACCCCAGAGGAAAGGCTAGGTACATATAAATGAGCCACCCAATTTTTACAGAAATTAGTTCAGGATACCAGTAGTACATCAAAAGGGAAAATACTAAACTGAAAATAAAATTAAGGGCTCTAGATTCATTTTTCATTCATACCACCTCCTCCTGCAACATTGGCTCCTTCCAGATATATGGCCAAAGGTCTGAATCAGACCTTGAAGCATTTGCTTTTCCAAAGCAAGCTTCGGCGACACCATTTTTATATTTAGATAATTCCTTGAAGATTCTGAGTTGCCACAACATGTCTTGATATGCTGAACACTGTATGACAGATGAAAGGACCACACTCACTTCAGCTTAAAATAACTGCACAGAGGGGTGGAAAAGACCCCATAAAAATATTCTAATAGAGCACATTTTAAAAAGAGGAAATTATAATAAGAAAGGATTGAAAACTAACGGGGGGACATGTAGAAATAAGTATGGTATTCCAAATTGCTACTCTTGTTTTAAAAACTTCATGCTTTTAATTACATTACAAAATTCATCAGCCGTTTTTGTAATTATTGAATCTAATAGTTAAGAAACAAATTAAGAAAAAATTTAGGATAAATTATATGTAGTCTTACAATACATATTTGCATTTAAATATTTCATTAAAACTAACCTACTGAGATTAACTGTAACTACAAAGGAACTAAAATCTGATTAATGTAGATTTAGGCAGGAGAAGCTGGGAACGAATAACTAAGTTTGGTAACATGCTACATGATGCAGTTTCCTGCTACAGTAGACAGGCGAAGGTATCCAGTAAATGGGTTGAGGACAGGAATACCTGCACATTGTAGTCATCCAACACTAATTCAACAGCTAGCGGCTCCATCCATCCTTTCTCGGGTTCCTCGTGGCCTGTGACAAGTCATCCTTTCAACCTATGAGGCTGTCCGCTCTCCCCTAAAGAATATAATTTCCGTGCAGGTGGTAAAATCACCCTCACGAACTACTTGCTCACACTTCCCCGTCTCGCAAGGAGCCGATCCCAAGATGGGGAAAGGTCGCCTTGCCAGGGAAGTTACGTGGAGTGGGCTTTCTCGTGGTCTGACCCGAGCTTGCAGCCCCCGCAGGCGCGGGGCACAAGGAAGCGGGCGGCCGCCAGAGAACGGAGGATGGGGCAGAGGATGAGAGCCCTCGAGGCAGGCTCCTCGGTGCCCGGCACCGGCTTGAGCAGGAAGAATGGAGGAAGAGAGGCGAGGCGGCGGGGTGGCGGCGAGGCAGCGAGGCGGGCGGTGGTCAGACCCCGCGCCCAGGACCCTTAAAGCCCGCGGACCCGGCAAGCGTTCCGCGTGCGGCGACTCTCCCCGGAGGAAGAGCGTCTGTCTCACACCCGGATTTTTGAGAAATCCGGCAACTTTGCGCGAGAAATGCTTCCCACCCCGCAACAAGCCGAGAAAGAGAAAAATGTCAGGCGACGACGGGGGAGGAAGGGTGACTTACCCATGTTCCTCTTGAGGGTGAGGAGCCGGCAGGGCGAGGCGAAGGACTCCGGAGCAGGCAGAGCGGTGCTGTGTCCTCTCTCTACCTCTGTTTCTCCTGCAGCCAGGGAGGGACCCGCGGGGGGGAGCCGCCTGGGAGGAGCAGCAGCTGCTTCTGTTGCCCGCTGCTGCTGCTGCTTCTGCGGGCAGCGCGGCCGCGGCGGGGACGAGCGGCGGGGGGTGGGGCGGGGCGGGGCGGGGCGGCAGCGCAGCCTGCAGCGGGCGCGGCTCCGAACCAGCCGGCGGGCGGCTGAGGCGCCCAGGCGGCCTAAGAAGTGCCCGCCCCACGCACTGCCAGAGCTCCCCGCCCTCCCCACCGAGCATGCTCAGTTCCTCCCTCTATTTTTTTTCCGGTGTCAAGCGAATCTGAGCATGAGGGTGGGCCCGCGTTTGCGGAACGGCAGCAGTCGCCGAGGAGGCGCTTGGTGGTGACCTGCTTGGGAGCGGAGGGCGTGCCTTAAGAAGGCAGTGCAGGGAGCTACTGAACCCCGAACTACTACCGTGCGGCTCGTCCCAGGCTTGTTACCCCGATTCTGCCAACCCACACCAGGACAACGGCCCTGTGTTCATGACAGGACAATCAGGCTGCAAAGGCGGGAATTTCCCGAAGGAGAAGACGCCGGGCCGTCTCAGGGGGACGTTCTGAAACGAAGCTGGAATGGACGTCTAGGCTACGAGGCTAACGCCTCTTGGAGACATACTTGGGGACGCCCGTTTTCAGCGTGGCCTGTGGGCCCAATGGAAGGGTGCTTATTATTAGCGGGAATATCGGTGGGACAGTTCAGATTGACCTGGCTGTGGCTAGTTTAAAAACGGAGAGGTCCGAGCCGTGGAGAAGAGGAACCGCCCCAGGATTTCCTCGGGGAATGAGGGGAGTGTGGGGTGTGTGTCGTTTTCCCTTCTAAAGGGGTGCGACCTTCCATTCCCCGGAGGACGCCTGAGTAGCCATTTAACAAGGGTGCCGTCGGCCGTCGGGCTCCACCCTACCGAGATGTACCAGCACCGCCCCACTCACTTTGAACGCAGCAGGAAAACAAAGGTCCTGCCGAGTTGGCTGCGGCCCCGCGGGGTGGACGTGCCGCAGTTTCCTCTATTCGTGGGGCCTCCGATGGCTCCCGGTACCTCCCAGCTGCGGGGAAAACCTGAGCTGAGTGCTCCCTTCCAACTAGTCATGTTCGCGAGGTGGGGTGGATTTCGGGTTCTCTTCCCTGGGAGTGGAGGATGGGGAGAACCTTCCATTTCTCAGCAACGTGGTCTTGCCCAGACACCTGACAGCTGGGGTGAGGAGTCAAATCATGCAGGATAGAGGGGAGCAGTCAGCCGCACAGCCTGTAGGAGGGAGATGCTAAATAGCTGAATCGAGGTTTCTTTTCCCCTTGCAACTCTTACTCTTTCGATCCAATGTTGAGAAAAAGCGCTTTTTACCCTCTTCAGCCTTGGCTCCCTCTTGCTGATAGATCAATTGCTATTTGTATGGCTAATACTACAAGCTCACAAGTCAGAATGGGCCTTGAAATTTGGCTAAGCAGAAAGCAGGTTCTATGTGATTTTTCTAAACACAATCGTTAAAAAAGGATTTGGTAAAACAAGGAAATACAATTTAACTGCAGAAGGCAAAGCTATGAAACTTTTCTGATGCACATGACAATCAGGAACCTCACTGTTGTACTACATTCCTTCCCTTTCTGATATTAAAATGATTTTCTGTTTGCCTCAAAATAATCTTACAGAGTTTAATTAGTTTCCTATGGCTGCCGTAACAAAGTGCCACGAACTGGGTGGCTTAGAACAAGAGGAATGGATTGCCTTGCCGTTGAAAAGGCAGATGGCTGAAATCAGTGTTGGCAGAGCTATGCTCACGCTAAAGGCAGAATGGAAGATCTCTTCTTCCATGCCTCTCCTAGCTTCTGATGGGTCCTTGGCTTGTGATAACATAACTTCAACCTTCATGTGGTGTGTCTATTCAAATTTTCCTTTTTGTAAGGACACCAGTCAGATTAGGGGGCCCCCTGCTCTGGAATGACTTCATCTTTAATTATATCTACGATGATTCCATTTCCAAAATGGTCATATTTTGATGTACTGGTAGGTCCTTAGCATATGAATTTGCAGGGGACATGATTCAACCTCTAACACACACCATTGCAGACTCCAATCCTTTCTCCTCTTCCTAACGCACGCATACTCTACCACGTTCCACGTTCATTTTGGACCTCTCCAGAAGACCACCTGGAGCTTTGTATCGCTGCTCATTTTTTATCCCTCTTTTTCTCTCCTTAACCATCATTAATCTCTCCCAGGTTCTAAGGTTCACTTGTTTCACTTTCCCTGCTACTTTTTTTCTAATTATGTATTACAATACTGTCTAAGAGCATCTCTCTTTAGATTGGATGTATGAATGGAAAATAGCAAACACAGCTGGTATAGTTTTGGCACTGGGGATATAATGACAAATAAGGCAAGAAAAAATTTCTGCCCTTGAGGCTCTACCTGATTAATTTGAATGCCCTTTTTATTCTGCTTGAATCCACAAGCCATCCCCTCAGCCCTTATACCAGATAAAATCACTGGGCTGTCCAGGCATACCGCATACGCTGTGAGTCCCAATGTACTGGTATGTAAGTAACTGTAGTGAAACCTAATACAGTGGTCCCTGCTTATCATCAGGGGATACATTCCAAGACCCCCACTGAATGCCCGAAACCACTAATAGTACCAAATCCTATATATACTATCTATTTTTTCTTTTACATACATATCTATGGTAAAGTTTATAAATTAGGCACAGTAAGAGGTTAGCAATAACTAATAGTAAAATAGAATAATATATTGTAGTAAAACTTATGTACATGAGTGTGATGTGGTCTCTTCCCTTTCTCTGATAACAAACCTGATAACTGAGACAGGCACTAAGTGACTGCCAGGTGGGGAGTGTATACAGTGTGGACATACTGGACAAAGGGGTGATTCACATCCTGGGTAGGATGGCATGAGATTTCATCACACTACTCAGCACAATTTAAAATTTATAAATTGTTTAATTCTGTAATTTCTCATTTAATACTTTTGTACCCTGGTTGCAGGTAATCGAAGCTGCAAAAAGTGAAACTTGAGATAAGGGAGGACTACCGTACTGACTGCTACATGCAGAACTGGACTGAAGGAATGCTTATCTCTTTCACATTCAACATTAGTTTTCCTCCCCTTTCTCCTCCTATTATAGGGATACATAGGAATTATGTTCTCATATCTTTACTTTCTTCATTTTTTTATTCAAAAGTTGCCTGCATGAGTCTTTGCCTAGTTATTTTATCTAAAATTTCAACACTCTTTGCATATCCCCACTTCCATACTTTATTTTTTCCTTAGCACTTTTTACTAAGATATATCTTACTGGATGTCACCCCCATTATATTTAAGTTCCTCAAGGGCAGACATTTTGTCTTGCCTTATTTGTCATTATATCCCCAGTGCTAAAACAATGCTATCACATAGCAAGTGGTCAATAAAAATTTATTGTATGAATGAAAGTCTTTTCTTTTAGAATTTTTATTCTGAAAGAGAGCAAGAATGTTGTTAATATTTTTTATTAGCACCTCACCAAGTAAAATTATTCAATAATATTTTTAACAATGATAACTGCTATGCTGTTTCTGTCTTACACTCTGAGCACTCCAATGGGTGGAGTCTAGTCTTTGCACTTTTATGTACCCATTCACTCAATAGAGATTTACTAAGTGCCTCCTATGGCCCCTACCCTCAAAAATGTTATATATGAGAAAAATTGCTTTGGTAAAACTTACAGTCATTGATCACATAAATAGTTAAAAAATATTCACCTGATGCAAAAGAGTTTTCCAGAAATAAATCTACTGGTACCTGTGTTCCATATTAGGCAATGAGCAGGATTTGATTAGGCCTGCTACAAAATGAAGGATGAAATTCTGGCCCAATGCAAACATTTCCAAATACTATCTAAAAATCTATATTCATAAAGTATCACAGATTTATTTGAGTAAGAGTTATTGTTGAAAATTAGTTTGTGGTTACCCTTGCTTTTGGGGGACAGAGACTGTTGAGGGAAATGTTAGAAAGGATGAGGAAGCATTACATTTTGGCATGGTTTATAACATAACTTACCTTATTGATGCTAGAGGTTAGAAGGTGATTTAAATTCTTTAAAGGAAATGTATTGGGAGGGGCAGAGAGAAGGAAAGTAAAAAGAGAAGAAAGAGAATGTTCTTTAAAAGAATAGTAGAAAACCGATTGCCTCTTACCATATGCTTTGAATATCATTTAAGGGAATCTCAATGGAGTAGTTAACTGAACTTCGCAGTGATTAAAAAAATGATTTGGCAGTGAACAGTCTTCTACTTAAACTCTTTATTTTTAAAAGGTGTCAGTGAGATTAGGCTCCTCCAGGCTGAAGAATTGAAATATCTTAACCCCTGGCTCCCTGTAACCCTGTCTTCCCCCACCTCTTAACTATTTAATATATTAACCATTTTCTAAATCTTATGAAATCTAAAAACTTTTCATAGTCTGTCACTTCAAACTAATGTCTACATATTCCACAGAAATATATACCTAGGTTGTATATATTTTTTAGATGCGATAAAACACTTTACAGGAACCTGCAAGCAATTCATGGGTAGAGTGAGGTATGCATTCCATTCCTTCTGGGGAAAGGAAAAAGGTCATGGGACAAAAGAGGACAAGTACAAGGGGTTAAATCCTGTAGGGCCTCAGAATTGAGGTGAGGTATTGGACATTATCCTGAGGGCAGCAGGGAGTAATTGGGGGGTTTTAAATTTGAAAATGACATAGTTTTTGTTTTAGTAGTGGAAAAGTGGCAAAGAATGAGGTCTAGACTGGAGGCTGGGAGACTGTTAGGGTACTGTTGTAATATTCCAGGCGTGAATTGACCTAAAATAGAAACAGTGAGCATAGAGTGTAAAGGACAGTCTTGAGACATATTAAGGAAGTGGTATTGGCTTGGTGATTGATTAGATGCTGTATAGCATTATTTGTGTTAAATTATATAACAGCACTATGTCACAGGTACGATTATCTCAGCTATATACATTATAAAATGTGTTCAGAGAGGTTAAATAATTTAACTTAGGATCTATCGCTAATTAATAAAGGGAACAAGTAAA